GATCCGTTGCTGTCAACAAATGTTTTCTTTTCGCCAAATGTATTTCGTACCAATTTAAGCATATGACAATAGTCATAAAAAATGTAAATATTTTTCTCATTTATGCAAAAATACGTTTTTAAATTTTTAAAAGCAGTTTTACATCCTAAAATATTTACCATGCTAATATTGGAAGGAGCTCCGTCAAAAGTTAATGAGACCACAGATGCTCCTGTTTCTTGAACTAATTTAATACATTGGGAAACAAGAGCACTTTTTTGACTTCCACTTAAACCCTCTGTCAAAAAGTACCCTACTGGCAACTTCCACTTTCCATTAATACTATTCACAAGTAAAACAAAAGTTTCTTTTGCCATAGCATTCCCATCATCTTCTAGATCAACACCGTAATTAACGTAGCCATACATTTTTTTACCATCCCATTCGACTTGTTTCCTAATGGACATTTCATCAATAATGAGGGACAAATATGTAGGTTTAGTTGACAGCTGTACATGATTTTTCAGAATCTCAAAAGATCCTTTTGTAAAGCCAGGTTTCCCATTTACATTTTTAAACCATTTGCCGATAGTGCTTCGATGAGGCAAACAAGTATCAAAAACTTGCCGAACATAGTCATATGCTTTGGGAGAGAAAAAACTTAGAGTAATAGCAAATTTCCTCAGTTCAGGGGAATATTTGATCTTTTTCCCCAATTTCCGTTTTATTAGTTCTTTATTTATGTTCGGTAAATTTTTGAGCAAACTAGAATGTTCCAATGATAATAAATCTTTTTCCCTTAACGCTTTTAAAATTTGTTTTAGAGACACTATTTTCTTTTTGCAGCGTCTTACCGTTTGTCGAATTTGCTTCAACTTTATAGATTTATCACTACTTCTTCTTACTGCTTGGAATAATTGTCTCCTTATGCGCCTTTTTCTTGGAGTGTCTTCCAAACTTTTGTCTCTAGATATGTCAAGATCCGGAGTAGCAGAAGTAGAAGGTTGGTCAGTTTGTGGACGGAGCCTTTTCATTGCCTAGACCAACAAAATTGTATTACAAAATAAAATTTTGAGTTTATTTTAATGAGTAATCAATTTATGAATATCGACTTACTCGCTTTGGTTTTAGCTTTTCCTGAAGATATGATGGTAATTCTTCAAATACTGTCGGTATTGCCTCATCAAGAAGGCAAGTTCTGTTACTAATTCTATAGAAAGACTTCTGTTCGAAGTGTTTGGAACAAAGCCTATCATTTTTTGTAGGTTCCCAATCTGCAATATGCATTTTCTGCACCCAAAGAGCTAGCTTTCTGGGATCCTTCACTGGGAATCTAAAACAAACCAATAATAATTAACGGGTTTCTAGAGAAAAAAATACAGCAAGATTATATCATACATATTGTACCGTGGATGGCCGAGTATCAAATTCTTTCTTCAACTTACAACTTTTATTCCACTCGGTACAACTTTAACTACGGAACAGGAACAAACTAA